GAACAGCTCGCTAACCGAAGAAACACTCTATAGCCCAGACTGGGACCAAGCTCAAGGACTGCCCAGCCCAGGCCTACCAACGCGACAAGCTCTAGTGAGGAATGCCACCGAAAGGACAACCCAGACGAAGTACACAAACATCACCAAGTCTTCTCTCCTCACAACCAGAATGCATGCAAGCAACATGCATGCATGCAGATATCTATATCGTAGGTTTTCAGACAAAAAGACAACAACAAAGCAGAAGGAACTAAACAAAGAGAGCGGGGGCAGCAACGACATAATCACATTGTATGACCTGGTTCGATATTCCAGGCCCTTGTTGAAAACTGAAGAGAACGTGCAAATCTAGCGGTTAATGCATGCATGGGTTTGTCTTCAGATTTGTAGACTACGCCTTGCTCATTACTGGCTCGATGCTGATGGTCCCTTGCCTCATCCTGGTGCTGCCGCCACGATATTATCGATATTTACTATACATTGTGTTTTTGGGATGAGCTCTTCGAAAAATTCTTACGGCCATCAGCCTCCGGTCAAGCGACCGTAATGCTGGCCTACGCCCTAGCTGGATGCAAGGTCTTCCGGCACTCCGGGGCGCAAGCGAAAGTGATGTCACGCTCCAAATCCCTGGGTGGGGACTTCAAGAATTGGGTTCAGGAGGCTTCGGGTTCGGAGTTTGCGGAGCTTGGCTTTAAGGAGATGTTGGGGCTGGACACTCAAGTTCTGCATTTGGCATCCTGGCCCTCGGAACTTTGATTTCGAACTCCGCCGTTTCGTCACTTTGATCGTGGGCTATCCGGATTGGGACTTCGGTGTTCAAGCTGATGCTGCTGATGATGATGAGGAGGATGATGACGAAGGGCAAGACGGTGATCATGTTGGTGATGGCAGTGAACATGCATCATCAGCAACAACACTACCAGTGCCAGCTGCATCAGCACCCGGAACAGCCACAGCAACGTCAACAGCAGCGACGGTGGCAATGACGACGACTTCATTCTACAATTTTCATAGTCGCCAGTCCTGAGGGTGCAGGGCCAAGGCACCGGATGTTCTTGCGAATCCCCTGTTTCTTCTTCTCGAGGGGCTTTACCTCCAGCGTCGGAATAAACATACCAAGCTGCTCAAACCCAACTGAGAAAGTCTAACTCTCATCCGCAGCCTCTTCGGGCTCTAGCACTGCTCTCGTGCACCCGCCTTGCGAAGGAGCGAGAAGCATCCCAGCTCCTGGATGATGGTGTTACCTTTAGGTATAAGGTTTACAGGTATTGAGAATCGTCCAGGATTGAGCAGAACTCTTAGAAGACAGCGCTCACCAATTCAACTGCCTCCTCATGTAAACCCTGCTACTCCATGCCTCAAAACTGAACGATGGAAAACAAGATCGCAAGAGCCACTAGTCCCAACGCCCGAATCTCGGTGTATGGTAGCCTATCTCCAATTTTTTTGGCAAGCTTGAGGTGTGCAATTCCGTCTTTTGCATGTCCTCGACTTACTGTTCCTGGCTTTAGCAGGCTTCTGTCCTCCAAGGACTTGTCTGGAGGAGGCTGGTCGTCCTTGGCCTGGCACAGCACAAGGCTCGTGTTAGGACGGACAGGGACTCAGGTAATGAGACACGAAAAGCAGGAAACAACACAAGATGATTACGATGACTATGGTGAGGGCTGTGATGATGACTACGGTGATGACTACGGGGGGGGAACCATGATGACGATAATGACTGGGATATTGCTGAAAACTCTTCCGGTATTACTACGTCTAATAGCTCTAGCAGACTCTAGCAGCAGCAGCAGTTGCAGCAGCGGTAGCAGAAGTAGGAGCAGGAGCAGCAGCAGTGGCAGCAGCAGTAGCAGTAGCAGGCAGGTTTAGTAGTAGTGTTCGTCTTAGTCTGAGTCTTCAATTTAGGCGTAGGCTTAGGCTTCGTCTTAGTCTTCGTGTTACTCCTAGTCATAGTCTTAGTCTTAGTAGTAGTAGTAGTAGTAGTAGTAGCAGTAGTAGTAATAGTAGTAGTAGTAGTGGTAGTAGTAGTGGCAGTAGTAGTGGTCGTGGTCGTGGTCGTGGTAGTGGTAGTGGTACTATCTACTACTGCTGCCACTGCTACCACTGCTACCACTGCTACTACTGCTACCACTGCTACCACTGCTACCACTGCTACCACTGCTACCACTGCTACCACTGCTACCACTGCTACCACTACTTCCACTACGACTACCACTACCACTACCGCTACCGCTACCACTACCACCACCACTACCACTACCACTACTACTACCAGTACTGCTACCACTACTACTACTACTACTACTACTACTACTACTACTACTACTACTACTACTACTACTACTACTACTACCACTACCACTACTACTACTACTACTACTACTACTACTACTACTACTACTACTACTACTACTACTACCACTACTTGACTGCTACTGCTACTGCTCCTGCTCCTGCTACTGCTACTGCTACTGCTACTAGTCGCGGTAGAGCTGTGTCCGGGACAACGTTTGACACCGTCATAGGAGTGGCAGGAGTGTTGTAGTAAACAAGGTATTGACAACACTCTTGATGATGATGCTCCTCGTGGTGGTGATGGTGGGGTGATGCCGTTGACGACGCTGACGTGCTGGTGCTGCTGCTGGTGCAAATTATCAAACATTATGAACCGCTTCGCCATCATCACACCACATTCACGGACCAGATCGGCCCACATCAATCATCTCTCGTTCAAAAACCATGCAGAGGATCAATATCCGTTATCAAGAACGGCGCATGCTGATCATGCAAGGCCAATCATGCCCTGAGAGTCAGCGGGCCAGCTGGCGGCCATTTGTGGCGCTGGGCCAGTTCATGAACCCCCAACCCTAGAATATTCCTGAGACTAAGCTACATGCCATCGCATTCGAACCGAAACCTATCCATCACTATGATCAAATCAAAGCAAAAGACCTGGAACTCAAGACTACAGCGACTCCTTGACAACCGTTAATGTAGTTGCCTGTATACAATTAGAACAGGGTCTGCGGGTATGTTATACTGTAACTGTAGTAAGGAATGTTCGCTGACACCGCCCCAATGCATTGGCCTTGGCCTCACCGCAGCAGCATGAGCAGCAGCCCTGACAGGGCAGTTGATTCTCACAACTGCACTGAGAAACACTAGTAACTTGCTGTTGCCAAATCTGAACTGCTGGTGCTGCTCACAAAACGCTGATACCATTCGCATTGTCATCTTCGTCATCGTCGTTATCACCTCTGATCTTCATTGGCATCATCATGACATCGCTGCAGCTACTACCATTCATCAATCTGCGGCTCATGGCTGACGACAGACCTTCAGCTCAGGCTTTTCACGAATTCGGGGAATTGGGCGGCATCTGGTCAGTTCGGAAATAGGCTGCATAGAATGCTTAGAACTTCTTGGATATCTTGCGGAGTCAGTAGCCTTGGGACCTCAAGCCCGTGATTGAAACGCAGCTTCTCAGACCCGACTTTTGGTTTAAAGATTGTCGGATGTGTTCAAAAGCTTCTGGGCTTGTAGGACTGAGTGGCTTCCCCACCTGCCTGGAAACAGGACATGGCCGTCCGCACGGCACAATAAAAAAGGGCAGTATGGGGCGTAGGCCAGCGGACCGACCCAGCGAACCGGCGTCTGCAAAGTCAGGGTATTGCTTGAGCCAGACAACACTGAAGCAAGCCACCTTGCAGCTCCTCACCTTAAAGCTTGTAGTCTGAACCATTGAAGGTGGATGAAGCCATGGACCCCCTAAACTGGACACGCTGTCGCTTATGACAGTGGGAGAAGATGTGCTGTTCATATAGTAGCACCAATAGGTAGTAGTAGTAGCAGTAGTAGCAGTAGTAGCAGTAGTAGTAGTAGTAGTAGTAGTAGTAGTAGTAGTAGTAGTACGAGTAGCAAGAGGAGAAGGAGCAGCGGCAACAGCAACAACAGCAGGAGGCATTCGCATCATCGGATTAGGAATACCTCATTGGTCGGTTCGTAGATTAGCACGCTCGTTTTTGGTAGGTTGGCACATTGGGCTATAAGTATAATCTGAAAGTTAACCGCTTTGTAAATGTGTGCATTAGTAGATTGTAGTCGTAAGCGTGTTCGCATTAGCATGCAATGGTGGCAGTAGTAATAGTAGCAGTAGTAATAGTAGTAGGAGTAGTAGTCATAGCAGCAGCAGCAGGAGGAGGAGGAGGAGCAGGAGGAGGAGGAGGAGTAGTAGTAGTAGTAGTAGTCGGAGTAGGAGTATAGTAGTAGTAGTAGTAGTAGTAGTAGTAGTAGTAGTAGTAGTAGTAGTAGTAGTAGTAGTAGTAGTAGTAGTAGTAGTAGTAGTAGTAGTAGTAGTAGTATGAGGAGGAGGAGGAGGAGGAGCAGGAGTAGGAGTAGGAGTAGGAGTAGGAGTAGGAGTAGGAGGAGTAGGAGTAGTTGAAGTAGTCGGAGCAGGAGTAGTCGTGGTTGTGGCGGGTGTGCTGGCAGTGGAAGTAGTATTAGTAGCAGAAGTAGTAGTAGTAGTAGTAGCAGCAGCAGCAGCAGCAGTTGTAGTGCTACAGTCGTGGTGGGAGCAGTAGCGCTAGTGCTGCTTGTACTCGTGCAAGTGCAAGTCGTCGGTTTCGGCAGTAACCGGCAGCAGATTGCAGTTGGCAGCTTGTGGCTTCTAACCTGATTGCCACTGCAATTGCTGGTGGCTGGCGCTGAGTGGCGGGAGAACAGAAGGAGCAGATCCGCAAGACCACCTAGCTTTGAGGAGAGTACTGTGTCCTGCATGCACATCTGTGATGACACGAAAAGCATTGAGGATTTGGGAATAGTTGGAGCTCAAGCCCTAGACTTCAGAGTTGAAGGCAAAACCCGAAGCGTCGCAGTCCTGGAGCAGCAACAGCGTAACAAGACCCAGAACTTGCAAACAATCAAACAGCCGACAGAAGTGAGTAGAGAGTTGTGATGGATGACAAGAACAGGAAGCAGTAGTAGCATTATGATTTAAGGGACTATCGATGCCGTTCAGGCGTTCCAAGCCCCCGCCAAGAAAGGCGCGTGGGTGAACGAGCCGGCTCGGCGGTGTCCAACTTGCGCACCTTCATCGACCCTTCGTCTGCGTAGACGACCTCCAGGGAACTGGAGGGTTTGGAATGATTTAGATGTGGGGTGGGTTGACGATATCGATGCTCCTGATCATACTTCAGATATATGAAACTCACTGACAGAGCAATAGCAGCAAGAAGAAGATTGATTAAAGACGCGTTCTTCTACTTGTGCTTGTCACTAGTAAGAGGCTACGGTAGTGAGTGAACTACCAGGCATCATGACCAACCCAGGTAAACGTGGTGACGCTATCACGAGGAATGCTCCATACGATCACAACAAGCAAGCACAGACTCTGGCGACGACCCAGTGCCGAAGATGCGCTTGAAAACATCCCCCCACTGTGCCCAAGCCTTCTGCGTAACCAGTTCTGACCTGGCTCGAGCAGCCGCAGGCGTTTCGGGCTCATGTGCTCCGTTTAGAGGCTATTTTTCGAGGTCCGTCTTCTAGCATCAAAGGGCTTGGGACTTGGCATGCGCGGCTTCTAGTTGCCGCCAGCAAACACTTACGACCCTCCTTCGAAAACGTCTCTTTGTTTTGGGGCGCGTGCTGGGTAAGTGCCTTATGGCGCAAGGAATTTGTGTTTCCAAGCTGCGCACGGATGCTGGCTTTGCAGGGGCCAGACGGTGGTTGAGATTTTCCGGCCCCTTGTTCCTCCCAAGCTTACAAGTTTGTACAGCGGAACCAAAAGCCAGAACTTGTCAGGAAGAGTTCTACGCAGCCTTGTTTAGCATGTCATGTGATCAGGGCAAGGCACGGTGCGAGCATTGTACCGACAAAACTGGTATGTTTCTGAAACCCTTATTGTCCTCGTATCGATCGAAAAAATCACGGTCGGATGTTTTTTGGTTGTTGCCCTTTTTGTTTCAGCCCCCTACCACTACTTGCTTTTTGTTTCACCTCTCTGGGTCCACAAATGCCAGGAATCGTCCGATCGAGCAGGATTGGAGCATGTCAGAAAGAGGAGCAGACCGCTCGAAAAGGAAACCTTCTGCGAACCGCTTCAGCTGGACTGGGGCATCTGAAAAACAGGAGCAAACCGTTCGAAAGGGAATAACGCATCTAACAAAAAGTTGCAAACCGCTGCACGAACGGGACTAAGAGAAATGGCAGCAAATCGCTCGACAAGGATAAGAACGTCTGAGACAGAGCAGCGAACTGCACATGGACAAGAACATCTGACAACGCGAGAAGGATGAGGGAACTTGAGAAATAGCAGCAGCCCGTTCGAAAAGAACTTCAGCTTTGACAAAGAGGAGCTCGGTGCTCGAAAGGGGTTAAAAAACACATAAAAATGGCAGCAAACCTTAAAAATCGACTACAGCAGTTGAGAAAGAGCATCGAGAAAGAAAAGCAGACTGAAAGGGGCTAGAGAATCTTTTATTTTATCATGCAGCGCACCGCTCGAAGATGGGTAGAGCATGTGAGAACGACGAGCAAACCGCTCGAAAGGGATTAGATTGATTCTGTCATCATAATATGAGACAGAGCAGCAAATCGCTTGCAGGGCTGCGAGAACCTGAGGAAGAGCAACGACAAGCCTCTCGAAAGGGACCAGAGCAGTTAAAGATCCAAAAAGGAGCGAACCGCTCCAATCGTCCGAGCAAGCTTGAGAAAGAGTAGCAAACCTCCGGAAAGTGACTGGAGCCTTTGCGAAAGAGCGGCAAACCACATTGTTAGAGTCGGTTAGAGTGACTTGAGCATCGAACCCCTCGTGCAATTTACACACAGCTCTGTGTGTGGGTGTGTGTCAGAGACCGAATGAGGCTACAAGCTGCACGACATACTACCCACAGCAAACGAGGGGCCACGGATTAGCTTATGTTTCGGTTCAAGATGGAGTCTCCTAGGGCGGCACCAGAAATCATGAGAATCGCCATCATCTTCAGGCGCAACAGCTCAGCTAATTCTCCGACATCCTGCCATTCCCCTGCCCTGAGATCCTCTGAGGCTGCCGGCGCAGCCCCCACGCGCCCAACTGTGATGAAGAGGTAGTCCGAAAGAAAGTCGCGTGCCATGACCTGGACCTCCGAGCTCGAGGCTGCTCAACCCAGGGTCCAAACTGCTAGCAGTTGGGCTTTGAAGAGCTCTTTCTGCTCAGCGCTAGCCGCCAGCGCAAAGGGTCTCCAACATCAGTCTTGAAGGCCCACTCTAAGAGCCCCAACACTCGCGAGACTGGCCTCCGAAGCGAACGTCGCTGAGAACATCATCGACTGCAGTCGAACAGTGCTCCACCTGGCAAGTGCGAGTCGACCACTGCTCCGACGTAGGGCTCCACGAAAGATTTCATCGTCATCTCTATTACATACTGTAGCAGCCAATCATCACCGTCGTCAACGTCAAGATACAGAGCACAGGCCCCATGCTCAAATGGTTGGCTGATCGACAATGCCCAAGTCACGGGATGCCCCCTGCAGTCAGCCGTTACACAAAGTCTCTCGATTCCTCTGAGTCTTGCCTTGCCCTGCCACGCAAACCTCAACGCTCAGGACTCCAGGACTCCAGGGAGCTCAAGATCCCCAGCTCCCAAGGCGGGGAAGGTTTTCAGTCCTGCAGCTCGTCGCTGTGACGTGCTGTCGAGACAAGGGTCATGCTAGAGCTGCTAGAGCCTACCCTCAAACCTCGTTTCATTCTCTAGGGTTTGTTTTTGCATATTTACAGTAGGATCAAAGCCGATTGTGGCAGTGGAGCATCTTTTGCCATTGGAGCCTTCGATCTTCAGGATACTGATCGGAACTAGTCATCTGCTTCACAGCCAGAAAGTTCCAGGACGATGGCTGGACATTCTTTCTGCTTCTGCACTTTGACAAACCCTGAAACAAACAGCTTCTGCTCGGCATTACCAGCAACCTTGAAACCCAAGGTTCAGTAGGCCCTCCAGAATCCTCAGCATGCTCTTGCCGTCACTTGCCCTTCCGAGTGCCCCCGCTTGCCCATGTCGGTTTGCTTTACGATCTGCCGGACCTGGGGCTCGAAACCTGGCCGAAAAGCCATGGGCGCAAGGCGACGAAGATGTCGGCAGCTCTAGCGTTTTGAGTTTGGTGGAAACCCCGAGGAGGAATGATTAGGGCTATCGGCTATCGCCGCGTGTGTCCAGATGATGACATGAATGAAATTGCTGCGATCGACATGGTGAGGCGTGTTCTCATCGTCACAATCACCATCACAATCATATACTAGTACTGCTACTACTACTACTACTACTACTACTACTACTACTACTACTACTACTACTACTACTACTACTACTACTACTACTCCTACTCCTACTCCTACTCCTACTCCTACTCCTACTCCTACTCCTACTCCTACTCCTACTCCTACTCCTACTCCTACTCCTACTCCTACTCCTACTCCTACTCCTCCTCCTCCTCCTCCTCCTACTACTACTACTACTACCGACAACGACAGCGCCGACAACGACTCCTGCGATTACTGCTCCTACAAAGCACTGCGCCAGAACACACACCAGCACCACACCAGCACCAGAACCAGGGCCACCACCACTACCTCCACTACCTTCACCGCCACCTCCACTACCTCTACCACCTCCACCGCCACCAGGACGATGTTGTCAACGTCGTCATCATTCTAATGCCTATCATTCTATTGCTCATGGCTTCGGCTGATCTACGAACTTGTCTTGTTTCCTCTTTATATGATCATCTCCGTTCTCCTCGCGTCTGTCCTATCGATATAACACATGGCTACTAATACCAGTGTCACAAATCTCACCATGGTCACTATCAGTATAACGCAGAATGACCACTGCTCGTGTAACTGCCGGCAGGCATCACTGATCACTCAGCTCTCGCTGACTGAGTACGACGAGTGGTAGTACTGGCGATCTAATCATTGCGACGAGTGACTCTTGTTGCTGCTATATCACTCACGAAGATAGTTCAAACTCGGGCTCGGACCCATATCAAGCATTCGGTCTGCCTGACATCTTGCATCTTGCTGGCTAGCATAAACGCAAATGCTGGCCGTCCAGTGGGAAGTGGTGGACTCCTGTGCTGCAGGGGTGGGAAGGTTGCGGTCGTAACACATCTCCAGCCTCAAGCAGATCGAAACACATCGAAACTTGCGGTGGCAAGCAAATACATTGCAGTGTGCCCTGGGCCTCATCTAGGATGAAGAACTGAACATTGGCGAGAGAAAGGAAACTCCGCCTCAGAGATGGGCTTGGCATGCATCAGTGTGCTATCGCAAGCTGCGCACTTAGACGCAAAGTGCCTCTGGGATGTAAAGAACTCTAAGGGCGACATTTCACAGCAGGTGCATCAAGCCCCCGTGAAGCGAATTTGCTGCCGTGGCAATTCAAAAGCATCCCGCGCGAAAGCATAGGATGACGTCCAATCGAGGCGTCTAGGCGCTCAAGATGAACAGCTAACATGAGCCGATGAGCCCCATCTGGGTGTCCGGGCTCGAACATGTCTGTCAGGCGTCCCGGCGTGGCGATAAGCACATCGCAGCCCCTGCTTGGCAGTGTTGCGCATATGGCCACGACAATGACTAGGTCTGCCAGCCCCGGCAATCAAAGCTGGTGTCGAAAGGCCCGCTGTAGTGGATGTGAGGGAAGAAACGAAAGCACGGCGTGTCCCATACTGCAGATCCGAGAACAGCAGGAATAATGACGTCTGACCACTCTTCTTCACCAAAATCCTAGATGACGGGAAGCGGAGCACATCCTTTAAACCGATCGACTCAGCATCCTCACGGGGCCCAGGCCCCTCGAGCTCACTCCTCTGTTCTCGCATGTCCGCACCGCCGTAGATGATGCAGCAACGGATCTGCAGCGGGACAGACCAATTGCAGGCTTGTGGGTTCCCAGGTTCAAGGCTACGAGGAGCTTTCTTATATGACCTGTGCTTCAAGCTGGATGAGTTCTTGACAAGTCTTTAGCAGCCCGGCTGGGCAGCCAAGGTATACTGGGCGCTACCGAAAACTGGCACGACCTTGCGAGCATGATACCTCTGCCCCCCTGCCCCCCCACCCTTCCAAAATACAGCATAAAACAATCAAGAAGACCCGCAAGATGTCTGGGATTGGCACCCCGGTGTCGAAGGCAAACTTCTTGCTCTCTTCGTGAATTTGAGATGCCAGCCTCAAGGGGCTATGGCTAATATGCTGAGGGCCTTAAAAATTAGAATAGGGCATTAGGGCCTTCTCTTATCAGTAAGGGCGGGCTACTGCACAAGCGAATAACGAAAAAAACAATCATGCGCATCGCCATTATTATCATCGTCGTCATCATCGCAATCATCCTCATCCTCCCCTTCAGCCCCATAGTCATTTCAGCAATGTTACACAGGCTTTGTTTGGTGAAGTTTTGCGGCGGCTTCTTCACTTTTGGCAGTGGTTTTCACCATCCTCCATAAGTTGTTTTTGCCCGGCCGATTCTTTGTTTGTCTTCTCCTTTCTGCCAATGGTCAATCTTAATTGAGTAGTACGTGGTAACGAAGGCACCGGAGAAAGCTCTTTCTAGCAGGCCTCAGGCTGGTTGATTCTGGGGGGGGGGAGTAGTTTAGGATGATGTAAGAACCTTCAAAATTGAAGGGTGCTTGGCTTAGTGCTTAGTATTGGTAGTTGTCTTGGAGTGATCGGGATTTGCACTCGAGGTTTTAGGGGCCTAAACCCCCCAAAACGGCTCCAGGTACCCCGATAGACCCTCCTGCTGTACTACGTTACTTGCTGTTCGATTTCTGTACTACTTTACTACAATGACTCAAATTACAACCACACAAGCCTATCGCCCACCCGCGACCCGGGTAGTCCGCAGAGCACGCTATTCAGGCCGCCGGGAAACGGTTGGGGGGGCCCTGGCCCGCTAAAGCCGGTGCAACATTACGTGGGGCTATCTTCTGACAACAATCACCATCGTTCCTTTCGTTGCTACTCTCGAGATACCGTTTGAGCAGTTATCTTTCACAACCAGGATCGCTGAGGCCGTAGCTCGCGCGTCGGCGCCAGGCACAGGCCACAAGGCGCTGGCTTCTGCCGGCCCCTGTTCGTGCTTGGCGGCGGTCATGAGGGTTCGAGGCTCGAGGTGCATGGTTACTGGTGAGTCGTGTTTAGCAGGCATGGTCCTCACAGACGTCCAGTCCAGACACGATGAAAAAGAGGTGCAATGCAGATCCCCTTCCCGCTCCGATTCTCCGATCTGCCTGCTGTTCTGCTGTGGTGGTCCAGACCGGAGCAGGGACTCGAGACAGGGCACCATGAAGGCGCAGGTCTTTCCTTCCGTCGAAGCGCTCAGGGAATTTGGTTCAAGGCCGCATTCGAGCAAAAGCTCGCTTTGCTATTTCAGGAGAGGCAAATACTTGATGCTGTCGTACAGCTTATATAGGAATCATCTATGACTACTGGCTGAGGCTCCCGTTGCATGAGGCGAGAGCTGGCACAACTTATGTCGCCGTGTTCCTCTGCACGCCGCTGTAAAACAACATCCGACCGATGCATCACACTAACACATTGCTTGGCCCCACAGGGGTTGCAGGCAGTTGCAGTTGCACGCCTGAAAACCCAGACACTGAACGCCGAAAGCCTGGAAGAGAACTCGCTCCAAACGCACCCAGCGTCTGCGCCTACACAAAGCAAACCTCAAGCAGCGGTCGACCGAAGTTTGAGACTGAAATCCAAAGTGCATTCCATATCTGAGCCTGAGCCGGTCTGTGCGCAAGCCATCAGATCGCGCCCGGACAGCACAATGGGTATGGAGTACTTCTGCACCTTGATGATTCCCGGTTTCATGTCTGTACAGGGATCCATGATGTTACGCGTACGATGGGGACCAAGGCAGGAACGTGGGCTTAGTCTTTGGGCACTAGTCTAGGGGCCGACAGGGGCTTGTATCTAGACTTGAAGCATGCAAATCAGGACCCCCTCGACTCAAAAACCCTAGCATGCTCGAGGCCCGTGCAGGGGTTGGGCGATCGTAGCCACATCGCCGGAGGTTGTCGAAGAGGGAATCCACCAGCTTTGCCTGGCAAAAGCGCACGCAAGAATAGGCAAAGGCTTGAAAACAGTCGAATCAACGCTTACGTTGGTACGCTGGGCCCTTTTTCCACTGGTGGCAAGAATGCGATAAGTCAGTTCTCATACACTTGAGTCGAAACCAAGACCGCAGAGCAAATGGGAGCACTCCAACTGAAGAGCCAACCCACATCAGCATTCAACCTCCAGTAAGCACTGCCCTTTCGCTTCTTTCTGCGACACTTGCTTCATCGAAACAGCAGATTCACAGCGAAACGAGCCTTCGAAGTAACAGCAGGGACGACGAGGAAGGGCGTAGAAATGTAACAATATCTTCAATGTGATCATACTACAACCCTGTTAGTTCACCTTTTCTGCCATGCATGCGCACCCAGTCAGGGCCTCTGAAAAACGGACGATGGGTTTCACGTCCGTGCTGTTCTCGCCCGAAACCTGGCTCAGGACTTCAGAGATCGACATGATCTAAGAGACCCCAAACTCCAAGGCTTCTTCGGGAAAGACCCCTCCGAAGGCCCTCGGGCCCTGGATGCCCAAAGCGCCCAAGCACAGGGTTGCGGGCATCGGAACCTATGTATCTCTTGCCAGATTTTTCACTGGGCACTGATGCTGCGCTTTCGGAAAGCAGGAGAAGGGATGGGCAGCGAAAAACCTGAACTGGCCTTCGGCATAATTATCGGGAGAACTTCAAAGGCTCTCTCGAGCTACTATCCATGATTGCTCGATACTGTAAATGCAATCAGTGGGGCAGTTCCCTGTATCAGGTCAGAATCTTTTCAGGGCACTGCTTATGTAGGGTCAAGAATGCCATGATCTTTAAGAACCTTATGCCGGGCCGTGAGACTAACAAACACGTGCCGTTTTGCGCCATCGCATGTGAGTGATAGGGTAATTCTGTCAAACTCGCGCCAAACCTCGGCCTCAAACCCCTGACCCACAACACTTAGCTCTAGATCTACCTGCAAGCTGAATCCGGAACCCCATAAACACTGAGCCAGAAAGATCCTGCCACAAAAACGAGCCTGCACCGGGATAGCATCGTATTTGTCAAAATCGATGCCGCTCGTCGATCGGGTCTTCGGTGGCCCAAAGACCTGCATAATATTGGTGATCCTCCGGACTCCTTGAAACCGAGGTATCCTCGAAGGACCGGGGTGTGGGGTTTCGGTTTCGGGCTTGAGGTATATACCGTATATGGCTTTGAGGTCAATTCGCTGTTTCATGGGCTCCAAGAGTTCGACGCCCGAGGTGGTCCACAATTCTTCTGCAGGCTCGGAGTTTCGCTGACATCCGGAAGAGGCTCCGAGCTCCCGAGACTCCCTTGAACTCAAACCTCTCAAATCAAAGGAGGAAGGTCTTCGTCTGCACAGGGCTTGGTCGCCCTTGCAGTTTCGGGAAGCCCCGTGCGTTGCTCCGACTAATGACCAAGGATCAAACCCTATAACCTCTGCATAAATAAGCTGCAGGAGAAACTGCCAATATGCAAGAGCTGTTCCAAGCACCCCCTTATAAGAGCGACTTACCTCGAGCTCTGTCTGCTGCTCGTTGCGTTTGTTGCCGAAGCGCGCCGACCTGCAAAAATGTGCCCAAGACTGATATGGGCGGCTTGGGTTTCAAGCGTGGTGGCTTCCATGCGCTGCTACTCTGCTGGTTATGAGAGTGGTAGTCAAACTAGCGAGAATGATGGAAAGAAGTAACATCGTGAAAATGAACAGAATGATGATCGAAAGCAGTAGCAGTAGCAGTAGTAGTAGTCGTCGTAGTCGTAGTAGCAGCAGTAATTCATGGTAGCAGCACCGGCAGCAGCACGAACAATAGGTCGCAGGTCGAGGTCCAAGTGTGGTCTTGCCGTTGTTGCTGCTGGTGCTGATGGCGCTTGTAGCGCTAGCAGCGCTGGTGGCGCTGGTGCTGCTGCCGCTGGTGATGCTGGTGATGCTGATGCTGTTGGTGCTGCTGGTGATGCGGGTGATGCGGTGATGCGGGTGATGCGGGTGATGCGGGTGATGCGGGTGATGCTGGTGCTGTTGGTGCTGTTGGTGCTGTTGGTGCTGTTGGTGCTGAAAGTGCGGGTGGTGCTGCTGGTGGTGCTGGTGGTGCCGGTGATGCCGGTGGTGCTGGTGGTGCTGGTGGTGGTGGTGGTGCTGCTGCTGCTGCTGCTGGTTCTGATGGCGCTGCTGCTTTGGGGTTTTGGGGCAGCAGCAGCAGCAGCAGCTGGTAAACCCGTAGACCGCAACAGCTCGATTCCTTTCGATCCCTTTCCGGTCTCATGAGGCCCACACCAGTCTCCGCCGGCGCCCTGCATTGAGAAGACAGTGCCTTGGCTGCCATGTCAGGCAGACATCGGTTTAGGACCAAGGCTATTGACTGTGGGCTTTGGGCTTTTGGGCTTGTGGGGTTTTGAGAGGCTCCTAGGCTACAGGAAGTCTCGGGTGCGGGCAACTTAGCATTCGCTGCGGCTTGGGACTCAGGGCTTGGGACATTGGGAGGATTTGCTGGGCCACAAGGCTTCCTCCTCTCGAACCTATCGGCCCATTGAAGTCCTGCCACTCACCGAAGAAGAACATATGATGAGCCGCATGTCGTATATCAATCTACGGGTGGACATTCGCATGGCTTCTCTACAAGTAGCAGTGTTCGCTTCTGTGAGGACTGGTTTTCCTCTTCATGCCGCCGGCTGTTGAGTAATGTTCCCTTTCGTTTTGGTGCACGCTTCGAAGATTCGTTTCACCCACACCGCCTCCCTTCGGAGTCACCTGGAGCCCCGGCTTTTCTTCGAATCGCCGGCGCGATCGCTATAGTCGGACCTGGCATAACACACTCGAAGGACTGTGAGGAGACGAAGTCTCCGCATGTCTGGTTGCTGCGTGAGTGGCGATCTGATTCTGTCTGTGTTCTTCACATAACGTGAATTTGGAGTTCCGGTGGCTGGCCCTAGGTGCTTGCAGGTCGATGGTTGGAGATCGTCATAGGGGTTTTCACAGCTTGGACAAGGGCCTGTGAACCGCTGAAGGGGGTTCAGGGGGCTTCCGGTGTTCAGCGCTCCAGCTGGTGCAATGAGCGTTGGATTGAATGTGGTACGATCTTTAAGCAAATGGCGGAAACTTGCTGCAATCAAGCCATAGTTTCAATTAAGGTTGCAGATTGGAACTTCATGTGCCAAGCAGAATGACCCGTGAACAGGGCTTCAGCAGCCAAGTGAGATCGTGGACCTGCCCTTGCAAGTCGAGAAGGAAAACAGTTGTGCTTAGCTCCTGAAGCAACCCCGCTCTCGGAGCCTTAGCCACCACCTGTGCTGTTTGAAGTCTTGACGTCTAATTGCAAAACAGGATCAATGTCCCAACAAACCTCAAACTTCTCGCCACTTTCCGGCTTGAGGTTGGTGTCATCCATGTATCGCAAAGATCCATTTAGCACAAACATACCAAATCTGGGCTTGGCCGACTTCCCCGCACCCTTTCCACCGTCGCGGTCGAAGCCTTGTTGGCGCAGAGGCTTCAAAGAAGGGTTGGGCTTTTGGTTCAGGTTCGGAGCTTCTGGAGCTAATGCTGCTGGCCCAAAAAAACAGCCTCAAAGCTGGGGACACAGTTGTTGAAGTGAGGATGTGATGTGAGGGGCGGCTTCCTGCTTGGTCTGCTAGGCTCATGCCCTGGGTGAGTCGCCAGACTCCGCAAAGGAAGGCCGAAAGCGATCCTCGCCAATCTTGTAAGGCCCTTACCAAGAGGTTTGTCTTGCACTGGCACTTTTGCATCCCGACAGAAAGTTTTCATAGTCGCAAATTGAGGCTTCTGACAAAAGACACTCTTCATTCTGGCACGCCGCATGCTTACACCCAAGACAGGAACCCAAACCCAACAGAACTAAGGATCAGGCCACCGCCGTCCCGGCCATTCTTTCCTGAATAGCCTGACACAAACACCCTGTGGGACTAAGTCCAAGCCTGAGATTTACAGTGTAGCAATCTCGTTCAATCTGCAAAACGAAAAGATTACGGCACGAATTGGTAACGACAACATCAGCACTTCCTTAATACAACGAGATGAAAGGCGCGGGCTCAGTGGACGCTGACTCGTCGTGATCTAGAGAAAGCTGCTGCTGCAACAAGATCAACAACGAATGAGGCAGTGCCCGGCCTCCGCCACCCTTTCCGCGCCTGCCAGCTGCAAACATGTCCGATGCGGCAAGGGGAGAGTGTGAACCAAAGGCCCAACCCGAAGCACTTTCGTCAAAGTGAGCAGATTAGCAACAGTGACGCGCTTGCAACACACGTACAAACTCGCGTCTAAGATCTGCGTGCTTTGGCAGAGTTGTGGGTATATGTGAATCCTGATTATGACTTACTGGCACGATGGCCGTTCTGGATGCTCGCCGCTGTGAAAGCTGTGGACGTCAAAGTGACAGCCCTGAAAAGCCTAAGATAGCCACAATGGAGATTTGGGCCTGGCTTGGAGGCCTTGGTTTGGAGTGCCTTTGGCCTTGATTTCGGGGCTTTTCTGAATTCATATCGTAGAATAGTAATAGTAATAATGATAATAATAATAATAATAGCAATAATAATAATAGTAATAATAGTAATACTAGTAATAACAATAGTAATAGCTAAGAGCCGAACCACTCTGATCGGCCATCAGTCTCCTGGGCACATCGGCTTCCCGGCTTAGACAAGGCTCTTGCAGAACTTGAACAATCACGGAAGAACGGAGGAGGAAAACAACGACAAGAACAAGAACAAGAACAAGAAGAACAACAACAACAACAACGACAACAACAACAACAACAAGAACAATAACAAGAACAAGAACAAGAACAAGAACAACAAGAACAAGAACAAGAACAACAAGAACAACAACAACGACGACAACAACAACAAGAACTGCCGATACGCACACAGAAATTTGCACACGCATGCAAATATTGGCTGCTTGTCGACTCATCAAGAATGTGCGTGTGTATGCATACATGCAGGCATACGTACAATGCCATGTACCAGATGCCATGATACACCATACCATCCACCATACCTTACACAACACCCATACACTATACCGTATACCATATAAACATACCATGCACAGTACCATACAGCTTACCACGCACCATACCATGCAGCGTACTATACTCTCGACTATATACCATACTCTCGACATGCCAGGCACCATGCCGCACAGCATGACATGCACCAGACAAACCAGTACATGATAGCATACCCCATACCATACAAACAAAAACGCACCAGACACCATAAACCATAAGCCACACATCAGACCATGTATACACGTAGACACATAGGTACACAAGCACGTACAAGCGCACGTGTACGCATGTATGTATATATATATACACATACAGATGCATGCATGTAGGATGATTGCCCATGCATCATCCACATCAGATGCGTCAACTCCATACATCCTGCACATCAGTTTTCTTCATGTACACTTTATGCCTCATATGCATGTACATCTGTCGTAGTGTCATGTTACTAGATTGCTGCATATTACGAAACCTGTAGCGCAATCTGGTTCCTACATGCGATGATCACAACACCGACAGGCTACAACATGAGAAATCATCTAAGAGTTGTTGTGACGAGTGCGCTTCTGACAGTCACTGGCATACTTTCTCGTGTACTCCCCCAAGCCTGCAACCCTGAACCGCTATCCCTGAACCCCTTCATCTCAAAATCCCGACCCCATCCCCAAAAGTCCCTAACGGTCCTATACTGGATGCTGATAGATAAATCTTACAGCACCACCTCATCCCTCAACCCCAACCTTGACACTTCAAACAAACTTCCAACCCAGAAAACCCTGCATATCCTAACACCCTAAAAATGGAAAAAGATAGAATCCTCACAGGCCCCTGGCATTCTTTCGCTCCGCTGGACTCGGCTCGGACCCTCCCGTGCCGTTGCGCTGGTGTGGTGGGACCTGAGCTTGCCCACGTCCCTCCTCAGACACTTTGAGGGGTTCTTCTGGTAAGCGGGTGCGTAGGTGATACAAACAACACCGGCATTAGGACAGTTCACGATTTTATGCCACCCACTAACCACCTACCTACCTGCGTACATACAGGGGCCTTCTCGAGCCAGGCGTCTACACTGCAGCGAAAGGCCAAGAAGCTTCTCAACTGTCTTCGATGCTAGTGCATTCCGTTATTTAGATGTTTGGACTTGAGGCTTAGCGCCTGAAGGCCGGGTTTTCGGGTCTGCGATCGGGATGTGGGGCTGAGAGGGGATGATGTTAGATGAGGATGAAGTGGAGGACGGCGCTGTGCCGATTTCTGGTGTCACTAACCACTGAAAACGAGCGGGCATGATATGGAAGATTACGGAAGACTGTCACATAGACATGCGTATGCATGCCGTACTTATATGTAGATGCGTATATATGTACATATATATGACACTTTAACATATATATATATATATATGTATATATGTATATATGTATATATGTATATATGTATATATGTATATATATATATATATATATATATACTTATTCGTTGATTTATAATCATTGGCGTGAAAACAAATCTATTCATGTCATACGTATGCGCATATATAGACATAATAGACATATAATTATGTTATATACGGTATACAGTGGAACTGGCGGTGACCACCTACATCTATAGGTATACAATTATACATACCGAAACCTACCAAGGCTATTTTGCAGATAACTGCTGTGTAGACGTGTCAATGTAGCAAGCGTCATAGCGAAGATTAAAACTATGAGGGCAATATTGATAGAGTCTGTCAGACAACCAATGCCGTGATGGCTGCCATCCAGAACATTCATGAATCAAGAGTACAGTAGAAAGGCAGAAAGGTGGAATATGGTTCGTTGCGGATTATACAAGTACGGGACATGACGGAAACACCGAGACTGCAAATACGGATGAAAGCTATTATTCATCATGGTACATACTTCGAAGCACGTGTGTAGATGCCCCGCAAAAGGGTGGCGCACCATACTTAGAGAGGTCTCTTGATGATGGCCGTGATTCTGACAGCAACAGAGTAGCGACAAGACTCGCGGCAATGGTCTTCACAAGAAGAACCACCATTCTTCATAAGTTGGAATCATCGCTGATGAAAGTGGTGCTCACTTTCAGCATCGCTCCCTGAAACAAAACGCCTGGGCCGGCTGCGTACTTCTTTTGCATCAAAGGACCTGTTTGACGACCTGGGCGGGGTGAAGTGAAGGCACAACGTGCGACGGCCAAGATGAACAGGTGAAGGGCGCAATACGTAAAATGGCGGTTGAGGATCTTCTGAAAGGATCTTGACAGGTGCTGTTCGGGCCTGGAGAATAAGTACTAGTACGGGTACTAGTACAACTACGGCTACTACGACTACTACTACTCCTACCCCTACCCCCACTCCTATTCCTACTCCTTATCTACTACTTCTTCTTCTACTACTACTACTATTACTACTACTACTACTGCTGCTACTACTACTAGTACCACCACCACTACTACCACCACCACCACCACCACCACCACCACCACCAGCAGCACAGCACCAGCAAAGGCACCAGCACCAGCACCACTACTACTGCTGCTGCTGCTGCTACTACTACTACTGCTCCTGCTCCTGCTCCTGCTCCTGCTCCTACTCCTACTCGTACCGCCACTCCCACTCCTACACCTACTCCTACTCCTGCTCCTACTCCTACTCCAACTACTACCACTACTACTTACTACGACAACGACAACTACTCATACTCGTACTCGTGCTCGTGCTCGCGCTCGTACTCCTACTCCTCCTGCTACTCCTGCTCGTACTCTTACTCCCACTCCTGCTCTACTGCGACTGTGACTGCTGCTTTTCCTGCTGCTGCTGCTGCTGCCGCTGCCGCTACCTCTGCCGCTACTGCTACTACGACTACCACCACCAATAGCAGCACCAACGAAACTACCTACATTGCTATGACTATGACGATGAGGACTGACTGCTACGATGACGAAGAGGACGACTCACGACGACTTCTAGTACGAGTCTCCCCAAACTTCATTTCGGTCGGAACCCGTTCTTTCTGAAATAGAAATGCAGAGCCTTCTACTGGTGCATTTACATGAGTAGAACAAGGTTGGGGGGGAAGTTTAGATTCTATTCATGGGGATATCAAGTAAATTTCCAAATGTTTAAAGCTGAACAGGGTCCATATGGAGAGCGAGTCGGGTTAGCGGCTCTTGGCCTGTGGTGTCTAGAGTGAACGATGGACACAATTCCAGCAAACGAAAAAGCGAAAGAGAAACCCAAATCGCATGAAACACCTGAATCCGAAACCCCTTTAAGCCGCAACTGCAACCGACGGGCGATTCCTCCCGGACGAGACCAGAAAGGCGGAACTGATCAGCTAATGTAAACGGCTGCGCCAAAAAAGGGACGTGTCTGGCTGGAGCGGTGTACACAACGACCCAGCGCTGCGCAGCCAGGGTTCCTCTGCCAACACTTCGGTCCTAAGAAGACTCAGAGGATTCAGGAAAGCAGCCACCATTGTCCACCATTAGCCTCTGTTTCTTTTACGTCAGATCGCTGTTCGATGCCTTCGCGCCCGCAGGGCCCCGGGCAGGGCTCAGAGGCTCCTTCGCTGCCTTCTCTGTCGGCTCCTTCTTTGCCTCTGCAGGCGCTGCGGTCAGCGACTGCATGGAGGAGCCAGCAGCGTTCGTGTAGGCGCTTGCCTCCCGAAGGATGGCTGCCTCGATCAACATGCAACGACCAAAGCAAGAAGAGCTATGATCAGGAAAAAGCAGGACATGTTGACAATAGCAAAGCAAACAACTGCAAACAACCAGAGCAACAACGACGACAGCGACAGCGGCAATGATGATTGCAACTTTCACGAAGAGCACTGCTAGCATTACCGTACTGCTTTTGCTGCTGCCTGTTGCCATTTCAAGCTTGACGTCGTCGTCGTCCCGTCGTGGTGACTGTTGACGGGGGTTAGCAGGTTAGCACCTTGCAGGAGGAGGATGAGGAGGAGGAGGAGGAGGCGGACGAGTAGAAGCAGGAGCACCAATAATGGCAGTCTTCGCGTTGGCAGTACCCACATCAGCAGTGGTTCAACAACATGAACACTAACATCAACATCAAGCTAGACCGTAGTAGCACCGGTAGTGGTAGTGGTAGCGGTGGTGGTGGTGGCAGTAGCAGTAGCAGTAGCAGTAGCAGCAGCAGCAGCAGCAGTAGCAGTAGCAGTAGCAGTAGCAGGAGCAGGAGCAGGAGCAGGAGCAGGAGCAGGAGCAGGAGCAGGAGCAGGAGCAGGAGCAGGAGCAGGAGCAGGAGCAGGAGCAGTAGTAGTGGTAGTTGTAGTTGTAGTAGTAGTAGTAGTAGTAGTAGTAGTAGTAGTAGTAGTAGTAGTAGTAGTAGCAGTCGTAGTAGTAGTAGTAGTAGTAGTAGTAGTAGTAGACTCCCAGATAAAACTATGCATCAAGGATCTGTGGTAGCTCTGCTCAGGCCAGTCTGATTCTGCAATTATGGGGTGATGGGGAACTGGATGGCTCTGTGCCCTCTCACGAGACAGCCTCTCTTTTCTCTTCTTTGAAGCTAGTTGCTGCACCAAAGGGTGGAATGATCATCTCAGCCAAGCCTGCAGGCATTCGTGCCGAGGCTACATCCAGGCCCCAAAATTGGGGTGCGCTCAGCGCCGGCCAAATGGCTGCTGCCTAGAGGGGCGCCTAGCGAAGACTGCTGCGAGGGAAGAAGAAAAGAAGAAGAAGAAGTAGTAGTAGTAGTAGGAGGAGTAGGAGTAGGAGTAGGAGTAGGAGTAGGAGTAGGAGTAGGAGTAGGAGTAGGAGTAGGAGTAGGAGTAGGAGTAGGAGTAGGAGTAGGAGTAGGAGTAGGAGTAGGAGTACGAGGAGGAGTAGCAGTAGTAGTGGTGGTGATAGGTGACATTGTTGCTACATGATAAAGACAACGCGAGCAAGCAAACACGGAATGAAGAATCGTCATGAAAAAACATGGCGAGTTCATGACTCTGCCTCGGCGACGTTCACCATCCATTCCTTGTGGAAGTTTGTCCGTCGCTCAACGACACCAAGGGCTGACCAACGGTGCCGGATATGGAGCAAGTCCTGCGAATAGGGACTTTGGGCTTTTGATCTCTTTCCCGCCTCACGGGAGCATGCTGCTTGACAACTCACGAAACATGAACGCGCTTCTCAAGCATGGACGACAAGCCTGGATGGAAGCATTGAGAGCAGAGAGTCGGGCTTGTAGCCCTTCGTGATGCATCAAGGTGTTCATGGCAGCACCCAAGGCGACCATAAAGGGAATCCACAGTTTCTGGTCCAATGCGCCCAGGACTGTGCCCAAAACCGAGGATAAAACAATGAGAGCTTCGTACACAGCCACTCGATGAGACAAGCGGGGTGCCAGCGCCTGCCAGTACTGCAGCTTGGCCTTGACCCTTTCTTCGAAATACTCCTCGACGGATATCGTGGTCTTCCCGCTTGAAGGAAATACTGTTGCAGAGCTGAGGTGTTCTCCGTCTTCTTCGAGAAGCGGACGGCGTGCTGCTGATCCTTCGTGGGACTCTTCTTCGAGCCTGCGAGATGTCAAATGCACTTAGTCGGAGAACAAACAGTCAGTGACAACGGTTTGGGAGGCTCATTCAAACCAAATGTAAAGGCCTAGACTCGTCAGGATTCGCTCCCCTTCCCTTGCGGCAGCAAGAGAGATTTCCGTCGAAGTCCGACGTCTACTGAATTCATGATTCTTCAGATGAAGATGTCTCACATTAGATTTGCTGATGTCGAGTGCCTCTTGCAAGAGAGACAGCGATGCCCGTTTGGTGTCGTACGGGTTGGTACATGCGCACTACGCTTTCAGATGCAACTGTATTCCAGCCTCTTCGGCACGAGCCTGCACGAGATCGACACACTAAAGAGGAGACGACTTAGATCTGGAATGGCCTAAGGGTACAACTTCCTTTCCAAAGTGAAAGGGAGATCGAAAGCGGATGACAGGAATAATGGGGTGGCTGCCTTTCTACCACAACCAGGTACAATCCGAGGACAGGATTTAGGCTACAGTGTCAACTGCCCGAGATTAAAGCAAGTCCAAGCTGAGCTGCGTGCAGCTTCCAAACATCGTGTCAATGCCATTCCTGCTCGTGGAAGGTACGTGGAGCGTGTCGTGATGAAATTCTGGTGCGATGCTTCCTGGACACCAAATCTAAAGAAAACGTCCGCTGTGTAGGGTGTTAAGTTTGGGCCATGGGTCTCAATGCGAAAGCTTCCACATTAAAACGTAAAGCAAGCAGCCGTAAATAGAAGACACCTTGGACGCAAGCAAGACGGTGTGCTCCTGCTCTTCTGGTAGCTGCATCGAGCCATAGTCTTCGACCTGTACTCGGAATCTCATGATCTCTGACTCGACCTGTTCGGCTGCCAGATATACGGCTCCCCATTTTGACATGTACCGAAGTCGCGAAAGCAACGTAAAAGCAAGGCCGCTGAGAGCAGGCATCAGGATCAATGCCATATCCCCCAGCCACTGCAGGAACGATTCGTGATCAGGCCCCATTTGCGTGTCTAGCCAAGCACTCCAAGCAGCGATCATAGTGGCCAGCAGGGAGAGTATGACACCACCAACTGCCATCAAATTCGAACGCGATGCAAATCGGTGTGCATTGAAACGCAGTTGCCGAAGGAAGTCGCAAGCCTCTGCCAGGCTCCTTGCACGCAGATCATCTTCACCAAGCCTTGCACCACCACCGCATGTGTTAGCAAAACAAGCGCTGATTTTGTCCAAGACCTTGTCGGGCTTGTCTTGGAAGGCATCCACAACAACAAAGGATTGGGAGAGTCGATGCCAATCTTTCCGCAGAAGGGTCGTGATCGAAGCAAAAAGCTTTGTATTTATCCACCGGTTCTCCTTGAGATTTTGAAGGGTCTCATTCCCCAGTCGTTCGTGCAAAGACTGAATAACATCTCCAGCAGTGAAGTCCTGCTCCCTCTTCAGGCCGCCATTTTGAGGTCTTTTGCTTGCCATCTCGGCTATGATGTCGAGCACGTGGCTCCAGAGGTCGCTAGCCAAGCCAGTGTGCTTAAAGAGAATGGCCGGCCTCCCTGCATCCAAAGAGGAAAAAATCAGGTCACTCGTGCACCCAGTCCCGATGGCTCCAGAGCTGTACACGCTTCCCTGCGGCCCCAGCCAGTCCAGGTCGAAGCAAACGGCCGAATCCCCGAAATTCCCGGATCCTTTGCAGAAGATGTAATGAGTGGCTGCACGGAAGAACCACCTCCCATAGTGGGATCTCCCGAGAGTCTCCCGTCTCGCCGCTTCTGTGGCGGCCATGTCACCTGGAACCGGCCACAGGTTCGCAGATTCCGGGAAGAGCGCTGGGGGCAAATGGACGATTGGCAGCTTCAGCAAGGTCTCTTCTTGGTGCACAACATCCACATTCTCTTCGAGCTGATTCCAGGCCTCTTCCTGGTAGTCGTGCTTGCCGTCCCGGAAAAGGCAACCTTCTTTGAGCGCCGAGTCCACAAACATGAGAATTACGGGCCTGAACTTGGTCCTCGCAAGCGCGGCCTCTAGGATGTAGTACAACTGCCCAATGTTGCTCTGATCAAACCTGGGTTCTTGCTAAGGAATTTAGACTAAGTTACCAACCATAATAGGGATCTATAGTAAATACTGTAATCTGGTTTCTCTATTATGGCAACAGGAATTAGATCCCTTAACCAAACCCCAGAAACAGGAGCCAGCTGTTCGTTTTGGAGCACGCCTCCGTCAGGGCGACCATATCTTCGACAAGGCGATCGAACAAGCTCGTGCCGATGGTTCTCTGCCTTCGCTGCTTGGGAGTTTCTTGAAAGGGCAACCATCATGAAGGGCACATTCCGGAAACTGCACCTTAAAATGAATCTCATAAAGCAAGTATGACCGAAACCCTCAGAAACTACGTTACACGTTAATTATTAATCCTTCATTGAAGTTCAGCTAGTTATTTCGAATCCGTAATTAAAATTCAGGCTGTCATGGCATGGCTTCTGCCTGCCCCAAGCGGTATGTGCACGATGGTTTATAAGGAAAAGCGTTCACCCCGAGGTACAGCGCCTGTTCGCTACAAACTCCAGCTGCAGCTGTGGGTGTTGCTGCTGCTCTTGCTGTCGCTGTTGCTATGTTTGCTGTTGCTTCGGTCATATGTGGTTGTAGTTGTTGTTGTGGTTGTTGTTGCCGCTGGCCATGGGGTTGGTGTTGGTGTTTGTGGTGGTGGTGTTTCTGTTGCCGTTGCCGTTGCTGTTGCCGTTGTTGGTTCTGTTGGTTTTGTTGGTGTTGCCGCACAGCTGGAGCTGCTGCTGCTGCTGCTGCTGTTGCTTCTGCTGCTCTTGATGATGATCCCGGTGCCGATGCCGATGCTGATGCTGTTGTTGGCAGCGGGCACATTTGCTGCCGTGAAGTGCGTGTCAATGTCCGGCCCTCGATATGCCAAAACTCGAGTTTTGGCACACCGCTGCTTTGAAGATTCTTGACGAGGTGGCTTTCTCATCGGCGTTATGCAGTGCTTCCGGCGTGACAGCAAAACCTCTAGTATGTTCGATGCCTTTTGCATCGGCATGTACAGCATTTCGTGGAACATGTCCTGCGCGACTGCAAAACCGGAGCATTTTCCAGCGTTTTGCTTTTTGCTTCAGTGGGGGGTGGGGAGGAAGGATGGGTGATAACCTAAACGGCAATGCCGACTATGTATGCCATGTTTTCCGTTATACTTGCGTGCGAGGGCTGGGGGTGATGACGTCCATGGTAGTAAGTGTTGCTTTGCTTCAGAGCGGGACTTGGGGTGAGGAGGTTGGGGGTGATGACGTCCATGGCAATGCGGATTATGTACGTGCTAGTGGTGATTTTTGCTTTGCTTAAGTGCAGGGGTCGGGGGAGGGGGTGAAATGCCCAGGCACAGCTCAGCCATGTCAATCGCTTCGGACTTGTCAAGCTCTTGAGCCTGCAACTGCATGACTCGCTTGGCATCCTTCACGACCTTGTCGACACCAGGCAATTGCTCCATGGTCTCGATGTCGGCCGGCAAGAGGAGGTGCCGAGGATGACACCAACCCCCAACCAGATCAATCACAAGGCTCGGTGGCTGCAGATCCCACATCTCAAACATGCTCCACAGCTGATCCCGGTCATGCGGCGGGCTGTCCAGCCACACATACTCCTGCGCCTTATATCCCAAGAGTCTGCCGACACCTGGGTGCAAGCAACGACCGAACTTTAGGAGTTTTTCCGGTGCGGGAATCACCCCAGTACCCGCCCGTGCAAGATTTCGAGTGGAATCCTCGGTGGACATTGAAAGGCACTACGGTAGCATCAGCGTTCTGCAAGCCAGAACTGCGTCCGTACGAGCTCTCTGAAAGCGGCTGAGTCGATGCGAGGCTTTGCTGGTGTGACTTTTTCATGCGGGCAGGCATGCACTAGCCACGGCGCACGAAGCAGTTGATGGCACCGAGAGCCCCGTGACACTCTTTCGGAGAATTTCCATGTATCGCACATCTACACAATAAAACGGACCAGGATGTTTTGTCTGCATCATACAGCAGAAAACAAACTCTAAGCTAAGCCATCTCCTTAACTCTTGAACCTATCCTTCCCGAAGCCTTGACCCAACCCTTATTGCCTTATTGCCTGCAATGTTGAGTGTGGTGCTTGTCACGTCAAGCTCACGGTCCAGGGCACAAGGCTCAAAGCACAAGTGTCAGGGGAGACCATGCGGTCCAGGATTAAGGCTTGCGTGTGTCTTACAATGCTGCAGCGAAACCATGCCTGTCTCATCACTTCACGTCGTGATCTCATCATAGTATGGTGCTATATTGTAGCTGTACTTTCGCTGGGGGGGGGGGGGTATGATTGCACACCGGATGCTTCTCAAAGGTTCACGGAGATGTGAGTGGCAAGGTTCGTCACGAAGATGTTCCAACCTTGATGCCCCCACCCGCCTTAGTCCTCAGCCGGAAAACCCGTGCAAGAGTCGCTGTAGAGTTGAGGCCCGGAGCCCTAACTGAACCTTGAGCACCAACCCATATACCTCAAATTCTCGCACCTTTTGCATTAAGGCTTGGCTCAAGGGTTCCTAAGGTTCCCATTGTTCCAACCCTCCCCCGTTTGAGTCACACCCCGACGCCCCAGGCCTGAGACATCCTGAGACCCTAAGCCACCAACGTCAGCCCAAAACCGAAAGCCTCAAACCGATACCTAACTCATCTTGGAGGGTAGGGGTAGGGGCTGAATGCCCATAATAAGGACCTAAAAAGGCCCATTTAAGAACCGGTAAACACCTCGAGATCCTTGAAGCCAGAGAACTCAACATGCACCCAGGCTTGGACTTCGAAGGTCTGGGCCAGTTTCAAGTGCGCGTTTCGGGCTTCCGTTCTCTGGCAATGGCACTTGAAGCAGTCTTAATACCTATCATCGCCGTCATATAACAGTAATAATAGTGGTAATAATATTGATAATCGTAGTCCCTGCACTTTCGTTCGCCTGCAGCTACCACCGTTTCAGATCCGTGAGGGGATGCGATTTGCCCAAGTTTGTTGGCATCCTGCGATTCCGAAACCAGTGTAACCGGAAAGTTCATTCTTGAAGGTCAAGCCCGCATTTGGGATTGGACAGTCAAGTTCAAGAACTGAACTTCAAAAAAGCATCCGGCAGCCGCAGGTCCGAAAACAACGCGAACATTCACAGAACAAACAACAGCCGAATCAGCCGCTTGAGAGTGCAGCCCCACGAGAGGCCATCCATCTGGTCCATGAATTCTCGCACCCGCCTGGCAGACTCGTGATATAACCGAAAACAACATACGATATGTCCCACAGTCTTGGCGCACTGGTGAGCCTTGTCCGTGTTTCGATTTCAATTCTTACCTCTACCGTGCCTCGCAACCTCTTTAGGGCAAGGAGGTATATTTCCTCCAATCATACTGGTATTAAAACGGAACGCCGTTGCTATCTACCGAGGCTTCTACATTTTGCTATTCCATAGAGTCGATCCGGGTCTGGGTTTAGAAGATGTGGTCATCGTTCTCTGAACGGCATACAGAGCAACGTCTGTACGACCGTGGCAGCTTTGGGGTGAGCAAGCCAATCTCAGGGGGCCTGGGTTTGAGGCTGGGGTCCAACAAACATGATATGGGGGCCTCAAAAAATGGAATAGGGTTTTGGTGTAACATTATACTATACTTATACTACGGAACCCCCGAAATAGTATAGGTAATCGTGAAGGCCCCTACATTAATCAGGTTTTTGCTGCTCCCGGTTGATGAGAAAAAGCCCGCACCTCAGGCAGATCTCGTTTGGAAGGTCGTTGTGGCCTGCAGCCGTCAACACTCTAGAACCCAGAGAAAGCCACAAGCCACCCACCCAGACCAGAGCATGCAGCACTTTGAAAAGGTCAATTTTGCAATGATCACAATGCAGGAGACATGAATTTGTGTACATGCACCTATTGTTGAAAGAAAATGATGATTGTTTGTAATTTGGACACTGTGACGCTACACTCTCATCACAAAACACTACACCGCATGGACCGGCATTACTAGTTGGCATCTTCAAGATGATGCAGTCGCCCCAATCTCTGAACATTTCCTTTGCAATCTAGATGCTGATCGGAGGGCTGTGAAACGAAAGTTACCGCGCAGGATGCTTCTTCATCAGCGTGTATCATATACTACAACCCATCGGTGATTGGCCATACCTGCAGTGGTCACACAACTTTTTCAACTATTGAAACTTTCAGATCGGGAGGCCTGATTTGAACTTCAAACAGAAACACCTACAGAATCACTCACTTTTTCGACGGCCAGCTTCGACTTTGCAAACACGTCCTGTGCAGCCAGGTCATGCATCAAAGGAAGCCCAGCAACTGACAGGAAGAAATGAGAAGAAACCCATACTCAAATAATCAAGCCGTCTAGCCCGGCCCTCACGCTTTCAAACCCGGAAGCCAAATGTGACATGTGGGTAAGGTCACCACCGTAGCCCTCCAGCCAAAGCGGCTCGACAGCTTTTCTGCAGGCCTGCTCGGGTAGCATCTCGATGTCACATTGAGTTTCCATCCGATTGGACCTTGAACCGACCTACATGACAGAAGGTATATACGACTAAAGATTGAGATAGCCCAGTTTTGGCCTCAGGTCCTGCGCTGTTCGCATCATGTCAACACAACGTTGCTTGAGGCTGATCCCGCAGCAGGTGTTTGCGTTGTGATCCTTTTCTTTCGTTCAGCAATCTGCTGGCGTTCGGTGTCGTCAAGCACGGCGGTTCTCCTCAGTACATGCTACTTCGTCTTGCACCTTCTCGAACCAGATGTGGGCTTGGAAGAGGAAGAAACTCTTTTGTGGCGCCAGAGCTCAGTACTTTCGAAGATCGGCGCTACGATGAGCAGAGGTCTTTGCTTCACAGATTCTTCGAGGCACCAATCCCGCCATGCTCGCATCATGCACGATCTTCCGTCGATTGAAAAGAACAACTGTATCCCAAACAATTGCACAACATCACAAGCTCCTCGAAGGCGTGCGGCCGATGGCCCGGACGTGTCCAGACAGGAGTCGGGATGTACTTCCGCATGTAATGCACGAGGCATGGTGCTCAGTCTTGGTTTTTCATAATCTCGATAACAACGACGGCGGTGACGATACATTCATGATGACAACCATGAAAGCCATGATGATGGTCATGGTCATCATCATCATCGCTTCCGGCCTTCTTGGCCTTCCCGAAGAAAACAAGAGTGCTTCTCCGTAGGAAGCCAAAAAGGCTTCTGACAAACACCTGATACCTCAAGCCCTATGCCAAAACTTTGATTACATCACATCCCGATCAGATAACTCTGGCACCGGAAGCTTACAGCAAAAAACCTGCAACGTTTAACCCTAAGCTGTGCCTCCTGGATGGCCATGCCACTCTCAATCGGGACGATGTCATCGTCCGTTCCATGCATCACCAGGACTGGGCATTCTACCTGACAAGTTCATCGTAGCAAAACTCCGCGGTGCATACTCTTCGAATACAGTTCACATTCTGCATCTTGCGGCCTTGTCCACCTTCTCGTAATTCCGGAAGAGGTCCATCCTGCACCGTACACTGCAAGTGCTGGAAGCAACTCGAAGACAAAAGCTGACAGTGACATTATTCAAGTATAGTGAGCACGTAGTTGTATTAACCATTCAGTGACATGGTAACAACCATTGCCCTGTCGATACTGGGAACAGTCAACAGTCAACATCATATTCACCACCATCATAAGGATGACAGAGAAGCTAATTCCCGAAAACCGAGTCCACAAATCATGCACCCATGCGATCTCTGTAGTCAAATCCCAAAAACAAGTTCGCGGAAAAAGGCTGATTGCCAATAGTAGTCGTCATCGCTGCTTTGATCCTCATCCTGAGCCCTCAACTCGAGACCTGGCTCCCGGAGACCCCACGGCCTGTAGCCCACCCAAGACGCCAGATTCCCGAAGACGGCGCGACCTTGTCCAACTGTGCCCAACTTGGGGGCGCTAGTTCAGCTTTCGGTCCATGCCGGCCCCAAATAAGCAGAACAGGTTTGTTCACAATAGAAGGCATGGCACCTGTACCGGGATTATAAAAAGGAACATATCTTACAGCATATTGAAATCATTCAGGACCCTCTTTTCGACCTTCGAGAAGCTGGGGCTCGAAAGCTCGCAGCCTGGACTTCCGAAGCAGAAAACCCTAAACTCCCCGGAAGGCGTCCCATGTACTACACGGACCTTGACAAATGGAAAAGGGTTTGAGAGTATGGTACATTACAAGTAGAAATGATATGCGACCCCTGTGTTAACTCCGGGCGAAGGATTAAGCTCTGATCTTTCGGTTCCCAGTAGTTGAAAAGTCTGTCATTTGTGTACGCTTCAGCTTTGTCAAAGCCCAGCAGTCAACTCGAAAGCTCACCCAGGGCCCAAAACTTTCAACACATGATGCCTTGACAACGGCTCCTTGATCATGACTCTGGGAACCACATTCAAAGTACGGGCGGGTTCCGGACCACAGCTCTCGATCGGACTCTGAAGGATGACTCCTGCCACATGGCAAGAAGGCGGGGATTTTGCGTCTACATTTTCGGACTTGAGCTAGTGTGGAGCGCGCGCAGCAACACGTAAGCGTTCTTCGCAAAGAGTGCGTGCCAGCACTTCTTCACAATACAGCATTTGTCAGCCAATGAAGCCCAACCCCAGGATTGAAACTAGGGTTGTTGCCTAAAGTGACATGAAGGGCTTGATGCAAGCAGCCATCTCTATGATATCACTCATAAGTAGTCTAATAAGTTCCACTACTTGCACGAAACTGCAACAGTAGCCTGTGTTGATAGATTGTCCGCGAAACACAATAAACAGGAAAAATTGAGCTGCACCCCTTCTTAGCCGGATGCCTCACAGCCAATAGCCCTGTGCCCAAAGTGCCATGGCCCCAGCAACCACTGCACAGGGAGTTGGCCTCGGATTTCGGGATGGCGCACTGCCAAGTCCACCGTGGGTCCTGAGGAGTGAACGGTTTCAATGAGAGATTTGAAATTGAGCGATGGATTTCCAACAAGCAGCACCGAAATGCTCCACCCTGCCCCGGCCTGTTCCGATCGAGCGCCCGAAGAGGACGATGCGGTTAGGCGCGAAGTGCTGCAGCAAGTATGCCTGGAAAAGTAAGGTCTATCTCGCAACTAATCCGCAAGCATCTCAAGACACGGGCGTTGAAACGGTGAACTGTCCAACATAGCGTACAAGAATACCAAGTGGATCAGTGACTCTTCCCACTTAGACAGCTGCAACGAATCGCTTGCTGGGACCCCGCGCATAGCTCATCAAAGGAACTGGCACGCTTCCCTTGCCCCCATACATTGCCGAGAACCGAGCATAGGCTGCGTCGATGCATTGAATGCAATTCTCCTGCACCATGTAAGAAGGGAAAATGCAATGCACCAAGCCAGTCCTCTTGTCAAGCTGATTCGGCCGAATAAGGTGCGATGTTGTGGCCCCATCAGTGCTTCTGTGACCTTCAATCTCTCCAGCACTGGGAGCCTCCGAGGGCTCGCCCTCGCTGAAGCCGTAGCCGCAGTAGTCGTAGGCGAGGACATCGGAGGCACCTCGGACCCCCAGCGTGGCACAAGGAGTGCAACATCCACCGGAACTGGCTCTTCAAAGGCGATGTCCGAACATACTCTTTCTTTGCAGATAGATCCAACTCTCCAAGCCAGGTTCCTGCTCTTGCAGCCCACGGCGCACAACTGCGACATCATATCCAAGTAGTGGAGTCTTTGCCCCAAATCCTGCTGCTGACACGCACTAGCTCTGGGGCACAGGGCCGGGTATAAGGTCAGCTTAGGCTCATCTCTGGGACACCAGTCGCTTCATGCAAGTCTGCCACGGTAAAATGAGAAACTCCATTTTGCAACAAGAAGCCAGCGACATAACAATGATGCCTTTGTGCGAGGCTTAATGCTCATTCGCTGCACCAATCAGGCTCCTCCGCATTTCCATGCGAATACCTCAGAGCTGTTGACCCATGTTCTCGCGGCATTGAAACCACCATTGTCACTAATTTCTCGTCGTCCAAGTCATTGTACCCCTTGGTATTTCTCTTCGTGATAGCACGTAGTAGCCGGCAGCGGTACTTGTCGTCGTCGTGGTTGCTGTTGTTATGGGTCACGCTGTGTTGCTCTTGAAGCTGCTGCTGCTGCTGCTGCTGCTGCTGCTGCTGCTGCTGCCGTTGACTTTCTTCTTGCTCGTCCTGCTATCGCTATTCTTCTTCTGTCGTTTCTCAGCCATGCCTCCCCCCTCCTTGGAGTAGCAGGCCTTGTATGCAGCGAGGTTCCCGTCCACAATTTTCGAGAGCTTCCATGCATTCGCGGAGTCTGATCGCTCAAACCCTTTCATGTACACGGGTCGTGAAGTCCAAAACTGATTCATCATAATTGTGATCACCTGAAGAGAACCATCCCAATCGCCGCTGTAGCCTGCACACTGGTACATTTCCTGGGGAGTCGTGCATGTCTGACACCAAAAGCAAGTCTCCAGTTCTAACTCCTCGGAAGAAGCTGGCAGGCAAGCAGCGTTCACGGCAGCTTCGTCTGCTTCTTCTGCTGCTGGTGGTGGTGGTGGTGGTGGTGGTGGTGGTGGTGGTGGTGGTGGTGGTGGTGGTGGTGGTGGTGGTGGTGGTGGTGGTGGTGGTGGTGGTGGTGGTGGTGGTGGTGGTGGTGGTGGTGGTGGTGGTGGTGGTGGTGGTGTGGTGGTGGTGGTGGTGGTGGTGGTGGTGTGGGTGGTGGTGTGGGTGGTGGTGTGGGTGGTGGTGTGGGTGGTGGTGTGGGTGGTGGTGTGGGTGGTGGTGTGGGTGGTGGTGTGGGTGGTGGTGTGGGTGGTGGTGTGGGTGGTGGTGTGGGTGGTGGTGTGGGTGGTGGTGGTGGTGGGTGGTGGTGTGGTGGTGGTGGTGGTGTGGGTGGTGGTGTGGGGTGTGTGGTGGTGGTGGGTGGGTGGTGTGGTGGTGTGGGTGGTGGTGGTGGTGTGGTGGTGGTGTGGGTGGGTGGTGGTGGGTGGGTGGTGGGTGGTGGTGGTGGGTGGTGGGTGGTGGTGTGGGTGGTGGTGGTGTGGGTGGTGGTGGGTGGTGGGTGGTGGTGTGGTGGGTGGTGGTGTGGGTGGTGGTGGGTGGTGTGGTGGTGGGTGGTGTGGGTGGTGTGGTGGTGTGGTGGTGTGGTGGTGTGGTGGTGGTGGTGTGGTGGGTGGTGGTGTGGTGGTGGTGGTGGGTGGTGGGTGGTGGTGGTGGTGGTGTGGTGGTGTGGTGGGTTGGTGGGTGTGGTGGTGGTGGGTGGTGGTGGTGGGTGGTGGTGGTGGTGGTGGTGGTGGTGGTGGTGGTGGTGGTGGTGGTGGTGGTGGTGGTGGTGGTGCTGGTGGTGGTGGTGGTGGTGGTGGTGGTGGTGGTGGTGGTGGTGGTGGTGGTGGCGGTAGTGGTGGTGGTCTTGGTTGTCGTCGTCGTAACGCTAGTTGTCACGTAGCATGGTAACAGCGGTATTCGGAGAGGCAGCACAGCATCTTGTGCTTCCGAAGACTGCTACGGCTGATGTTTGACATGACTGCCCCCGAGATTCAATATGACACGGTCTGTACCTCGGGCGCCACGGCGGACATGAACAGCGGCGATCCGATCCTGTGGTCCACCGTTCGGAGCTGCTTTGGTGATGCTAAGCTAAACTCTACTGGACGTGCTTTCAGTGTTGGCCTTTTCGGGTTCAGGCCTAGGATCTGGCAAGTCCCTGTATGCAAACCGCGGCTTGCAAATTTTCAGCTCAGATATGTATGAGAGTGTGTCTCTGCACACTTGCATCTCAAGAGGCATCGGATCTTTACCCTTTCGCTGGATGTCTGCACAACCACGTAAAGCATCTCGCACAGAACATTGCACCCGCCAAGTCATCACAAAGCACCTTGAGCAGGCACTGCTCGCCTCATTCTCTGTCTCCAAGTAGAGGAGATCTGGTCTCTTCAGCAATGCCTTCACCAGCTACTTTGCTTCAACAGCCGGCAGTATCTGCCGCGCGGTGCGTGACGATTACAAACAGAAAAAAACACAGCAGTCCACGCGGTTGCTCCTTCTCAATACATCGCACAGCAGCAGCAGCAGCAGCAGCAAGAGCACCAGCAGGAGCAGGCGCAGGAGCAGTAGCGGCTGCGGCAGCAGTGGTGGCAGTAGTAGCAAAAGCAGTAGCAGCAGCAGTAGCAATCGTCTCGTGGTCAGAGTCAGAGTGGTCAAAAGAAGCGGCTGTAAGGAATTGATGGGCAGTATGTAGCACAGGCAGCAGCAACAACAACAACAACAACAACAGCAACGGCAAGGCAACGGTAGCGCAACAGCAACAGCAACGGCAGCACCAACAGCAGCGGAAGCAGCAGCAACTGCAGCAGCAACAACAACAACAACAACAACAACAGCAGCAAGAAGGACAATAAAAGCAAAAATACAAATAGAACTGGAACGACAAAAGCATTGACAATAAGCACGACAAGGAGACGCGCCATCAGCAATAGTGGCAACCCTACTCATCGTAGGCGTCATAACATCCGCATCGGCGTCATCATCACACCACATACATGTTGGCTTAGGGCTAAGTAACCACTATCAGAACCTCCAAGAATAACAGCTGTTCTCATGATTGTTAGTCAGGACTACAGCGACCCTGCAATTTGCCGACACGATGGATCTAGCTCAAAGCCCTTCACTTCCAGCACGGGGGGACGGAGCTGCTGATTCTGTGCCTTCAGAGCGACTCTTCGGGAAACGGTTGCCCCTATAAGGACCTGAAGATGCTGTAAGTGGGAGCCCAGGCCCTTATCAAGCACCACAGAAGCCTTCAGGTTTAGGGGCGTCGCCTCCGCATAACGAGACTTCGGAGGCACCGGGAAGGCCAAGGAGGTCACTGCCGCCCCCATCCTCGATAGGCATGGGGTTTGAGGCATACGACTTGACAGAAGGCTTTGCGTCCAGGGTGTCCGGCTGAATGCTATGGTTTAGCATGTGCAGCTCGGGTTTTCATGGAATCAGATAGCGCATTAAAGGGGCTTGCGGAGTTCGGAATTGGGATTCGGTGGGGCTTAGAGATTCTCAAGCCGTAAATGCACTGGGATTTTCGAACTTCATGAGATTCACGGCGCTCGGAGTAGCATCTTAATGGTCTTTCCAGATGCTGTGCCTGCAGAACCCACGGAGTCAAATAGACAGTAGCCGCTCACCAGATCCACCACGAAATCCGCTCCGAGGAGCCCGAAGCTATCAAACTGTACCAAACACGCAGCACCCAGGACTCGAACATAGCAATATACATCAACAGTAGTATCTGAACCAAAGCAGAAGAGACGGGTACTACGTCAAGACCAGGGTTCTGACAATAAAGACCTGTTTCGGCTTACTCTCATCAAGACGGTTGCTGTTTCAAAGCCAGAAGTTCTGAAAGCCCACAACCACAGGTTCCCATACTCCTATATAAACGATTGAAGCCCCCAAACCCGAGAACTACCATCCTGAACCCGAAAAGCCAGATTCCTAAGCCCTGAAAAAACTTAAACTCTCAAAGCTGTAACCGATGCATCCTAAACACAAGCCCCTTGCTTAAAAAGCCCTGAGCCTTCACTTGCCCAAGGAACCCTTCTCGGAGTTTGCTCGCATCCGGCACATGTGGCCCGAGGCGGGGTTGTCTCTCTGAGAATTCGTGGTTCGAGTTCTTGTCTGTGATGCTGGATTCAAGGGTTGTGGTCCAGGTTGTTGTTGTTGTTGTTGTTTGGGATGTCGGGTCTTGCAGTTCAGCGTTGAAGCTTCAGCGCAGTAGGCTGAGGGTCAGAGAGCATCACGTGCCAACAAGCTTGGAACAAGGTTTGGTGTCGATGACTAGACGATTGTATATGACTCGAGGGAATGTGTCTGGCAAATGCTTGTTGAACCGCCATTTCCGCTGTAGCAAATAACGTTTTGACAGGCGATTTTGTGTCGATGGTTCTCTGAACTTGGACTTCTATGGCTTCGGGAGCTGGTATGATGACTCTATGAAGCACAAAGCTCGCAAAGAAGGAGTGGGCAGAAGTATCGACTATCTTCATGACAGTGATCAGAAGGATATGCTTGTAGCGACACTCAAGTATCGTCGCAATACTGGTCACCAGCGTTCAAACGAAACCGCACGCAACCGCCAAGCCCAAGCCCCAGCCTCAGCCCGGCGGTCCACTCTGCCTTTTTGCAGCCAACATTTGATTGGCCGTCTCTCCTCTGATGGCCCCCGTGGCACCTTCTCGCCACAACGGGTGAAACAGGCAATCTAATTTGAGCAGATGGAGAACTGCTTGAAAATCACTCTGGGCAAAAGCCGACCAGATGCCCTACCAAACACCACAATTTTTTTTCTTAAGCCGATTGCTGGCCGATCTTTCACGTGTTGCTTCCCAAGTGCAAACCCTGGCGCGCAAGCGTAGGTTGACTACAGGATGCTAGGACCTCGGTCACAATTCTGGGACAGTGCAAAAAATTGACAAGGTGCTTGAGACCTCTCTCAAGACGTGGTGGACCGCTACTGTAGCGGTCAGCACACTGACTCAGTAGGCCTTTCCGATGGCCTGCCACACAGGCAATGAGCACATGGACGAAACTGCTGAGGCCTGCAAAATACCAACACAGTATCAGGTTAAACAACAGGAAACAATGCTGATGCTACCGCACGCAGTGATCAACTGAAGCAGCAAGATCAACCCGATTGCGATACAA